GCCGGGAGCGCGAACGTGAGCGCGGCCGCTGCGTGCACGCCCATGAGCAGCACCCGCGTGCGGCGCGTTGACCCGAGCAGCACGGGCACCGTTGGCACGTTCTGCGCGCGATCCTCGGTGAAGTCGCGGACGTCCGCCATGATCTGTGCGCGGATGAGTGCCGCGCGGAGAAGAAGGAAGAGGAAACGCATGGCGTGGCAGGTGTGGTTCACCGTCAACCAGATGATCATCTGCGCAGGGGTCCAGGGTGCGGGGGTGCGGAACCGCCCGTCGGATGTGCGCGCGAGCACGGCGCTGAGCACGCTATGGACGACAACGAAGGTGCCGCATCTGTGCGCGGTCAGCAGTCAGCGGGACACGGGAGAGGGAGGAACCAGCGTACCCGCGGATGATCCCAATGAAGAGCGCCTTCATACCGGGGATGCGCTTGATGACGAAGCGACGCTCCTTTGTGTCCTCCTTCGCGGCTGCTGCGCCCTTCTCGCGCACGCGGGCGTGCCATGTGAAGAGTGTGCAATCCCAGAGCAGTGCGGGAGTGACGAATGCGGCGGTCACGAGCGCGGTCGCGAGGGGTGCGAGGAGGAGGGCAGCAATGAGGGCGGCAGCGCTGGCGAGGAGCAGTACACGTGCGTGATCGAAGACGGCGAGGACGGAGCCGTCGTGAGTCTTGCGGGCGTGGGTGAGCGTACCGGCGTGATCGTTGTAGTGGTCGAGCCCGATAGTGAGGATGTCGGCGGAGACACAGATGACAATCTGAGTGTGAGTTAGCAGGGATGTGAGTATGTGACGGACAGGAAAGGGGAGAGACAACGTACGGGCCGCCAGTCGAGGGTGTCGTAGATTGCATGGGAGATGAAGGCGGAGAGGACGAGGCTGCCGAGCGAGGTGGAGAGGGGATGGCCAACGAGCTTGTCGTAAAGCTTGGAGATGCTGAGGAGCGGAGGGGACTCCATCATGTCTGGCGATGAGTTGTTTTGCGCTGATGCAGGATCTGTGTGTCCAAAGGGAGTTTATGTAGGCGTAAGTGGGTACTCAGTGGAGCGGATTGGTCGCACGGAGGTACACTATCGTTAATCTCATTTCACAGCTGAACTGTAGCCACGGTTTGCATGTGCGCATGTGTTTTAACCCAACGCGAAGAAAAGATCTCCCAAAATGGGCTAGAGGACAGTGGACACTGCGAAGCTCGGGTGGAAGCCCGGCGCCGCTCTTCTGTCCTCACGCCATGCATCAATACATCACCGCTAGGAATGCAAGCCCACATGTCAGCGCCGCTGCTAGTGCAGTGGTAGGTTTATCCACTGGAGGCATGTCTGCTGGTCCTTTCCACACCTCTTCTCGTCTCCTCGTCCCACCATGAGCTCGCACAACAACACGGGGGAAGATATCCTCAAGCGCCATGTCCACGACGGAAACTTGCCTCCAAGACCAGCCATCTCGCCGACTGCAATGGTCGACGCGGCCCCGCATACATCGGACTCGCACTCAGACTTGGAGAAGAACGCATTGTCTGCCACGATCAGCATGGACACCGGCGGGGAGGGTGCGACAGAGGCCGACCCACCCGTACCAGACAACTATGCCGAGATCCATGGCCTTGCGCACAGCATGAAGCCTTGGGAGATCCATGTCACCTTCTTTAGGTGAGCTTTCTCCCTCTCCTGCTCTCTCCTGATTCTGCCTTTGGTAACCATTCTGATTGATACTGATGCTAAACGCATCTCAGCCTCGCCATCGGTGGCTTCCTCGCCGCACTGGACCAAACCATCGTCTCCACCTCCATGCCCACCATCGCATCCGAGTTCTTCGCTCTCAACCAACAGAGTTGTACGCCCCCCCCCTCTCTTCATTTGTTCTCAACATTGATTTATGGCTGCTAGGGATTGCAACGTCCTACTTGCTCACTAACACCGTTTTCCAGCCCTTCTTTGGTCGTGCTTGCGAGCTCTGGGGATGCAAGGTCCATCCTTTCCTCCCACATTCATCGTTTGTGCAGGCCAGAATCCGTTTCATCTCTCGCTCTTAGGCTGTCCTATTCGTCTCGATCACTATCTTCAAGTTTGGCTCTCTCATGACCGCTACCGCGCAAAATTTCATCTGGCTCTGCTGCGCGCGCGCAGTCGCAGGTGTGTTCGCTTCCTCCGGTAGAATGGCAGAATGAGACGCACACTGACGAACTTTTATTCCTATCGCAGGTATTGGCGGTGCAGGACTGATGGTACGTGCACCTCTTCTCCGCACGCATCTTTCCTTCTCATCGCCCACCATGCTCACGACGCCATCCGCAGGTCAGCATCATGATCATGATCAGTCAGTGCGTCCCTTCTCGCCAGAAAGTTGACTGTAGGCGCCTACCTGACACTGCATGCACAGGATGGTGCCACTCCGAGAGCGTGGTCGGTACATGGGCGTCATGTATGCCCGCGTCACACTCGCGAGCGTCCTTGGTCCGGTGCGCACCCTTTTTTCGAATGTCAAACCCATGGCTCACCACTCCTCTTCCGTACGCACAGGTCCTCGGCGGTCAGTCACTTTCCTTCTCTCGCTCCTTCCACGCTCACCGATCCACAGGCATATTTACTCATGACGTTACCTGGCGCTGGTGCTTCTACATCAACCTGCCTATTGGCAGCACTGCCGTCCTCGTGCTGCTCTTCTTCATCCCCAAGGTCCCGTCCGCTCCCCGCCCCGCCTCCGTCGGCCTGCGCGACATCGATTTACTCGGCATCGCACTGCTCTCTGCATCCGTCACTGCGCTCCTCCTCGCTCTCACCTGGGGCAGCGGCGTCTACCCCTGGGGCAGTGCGCGCATCATCGCGCTGCTCGCCGCTGGCGCTGGGCTCATACCGCTCTTTGTGCTCTGGAAGCGCCGCGTGCGGGCATGCGGGCGTGTGCCCGTAATCCCGCTCGAGATGTTCCGCCACCGCAACGTCGTCGCGTCGACGGTGAACTACTTCTTCACACACATGAGCCTCTTCGGCATCACCGTCTACGTCCCGACGTACTTCCAGCTTGTCAAGGGCGACTCGCAGCTCATCTCCGGGCTCGAGCTGCTCCCGTTGTGCGTACTATCCTCCTGGCTCCAAACACTCTCCGCTGCCTTTAACATTTCACACACAGCGTCGTCCCACTCTCCTTCTCCTCCGTGCTCGTCGATCACCTCGTTGTGCGCACGGGCTGGGTGCGTCCTTGGCTCTGGGCCGGCGGCGCCATCTTCACGCTCGGCGCGGGGCTTGGCGCGCTCATTGACGCGACAACGCCGCGCGGCGAGGCGCTCGCGATCCTCGCTGTCGCCGGCTCGGGCATGGGCTTCGTCTACCAGACGAATACGCTCTCGGCGCAGGGCCAGGTAGGCCGCGGCGAGCTCCCGCGTGTGACGACAATGACAATGTGGAGCAAGAGCCTCGGCGGCATCATTGGCATCGCCGTCATGGGCACCATCCTGCAGAACGTCCTCGTCGCGCGCGTCCGCGCGGACCCGCGCACCGCGCCGGTGCGTCCCCGCCCCTTTCTCTTTCCCTCTCCTCTTTCCTGTGGCCGCGGTGGCTAAAGCATGTGGTTTCTGATTATTGGACTTGCGGCGGCAGTATGCGCAAGACATGGACTCGACTGCGCTCCTCGCGCGCGTCCCGCCCAGGGTGCAGTACCTCGTGCGCGGCGACTACGGTGTCACGTTCTCGCGCATGATGCTCGCCGCGACCGCGTTTGCCGCCGCAGGCCTCGCCGTATTGCTCTTCGCGCAGCACGTCCCGCTCGACCGCCGTGCCAAGGACTCGGAGGATCCGTATATTCGCGCCAGTCGCGCGAGCAGAAGGTCGGACGAGAAAGCGGCAGTGGCGGTGGCGGGAGATATGGAGAAGGAGAGCGGCAATGACGGCAAGTGCGTCTCGAAAGCATGCAAAGAGGCGGACGGGCAGGGGCTGGCGGCGTCTCATCCCGTGACGGTCGTGGAGGATAAGCTCGTGGGCGCGGATGCTACGTCAGTCAGATCTCTTGGGAAGCGGCTGCATCGGGAAGAGTCTGCATCAACTGAGTCTGTGATGGAGGGGGGTGTATCAGAGGCTGGCTAGGTACGGATCGGGTGCGCTGGAGAATGACGCAGTACAATACGCAGAATCATATCTATGCGCCTGGGACTATGTAACGTCCAATCAGTCGACGATCGTGATTTTGACCAGATTGTAGCGTCTGTGTGGTCTCGTACACTGTGTTGACACGTCTGAGAACGAGACTCTATCTGCGTATGGTCAAGGATCACGATCAATACTGCCCTGCATTTGGTCAAGAGCTCGATGATATTTCTCATTATCGGAGCATCTCGTATGGTGCGGCTTTGTTCGCGATCATTCTTTGCTGGACTAGCTCAAGAAAATTTCCTCACATCTCTCAAGTCTAATTACGGTATGTTGTCATAAACTGTGCATCAAATAATGCGTTTTTCTTCAACTTAAACAATTTCGTATTACGTCATGTACTTAGTCGTAGACTATTCTTCTTCCAAGACGCAAGCCCTACGCGGCATATCGTAGAGTCGGTCCGACTAGGCAGACCGTTTCTATATGTGATTTTGGAGCTCGTTTGTCCGATGTAGGCATAGCTGCCTACACGCAAGAGCTCTCCAAAAGTGCAAACGTCTTCCATTCCCTCTGTTATGTGCCAGTAACCTCATTTTGATATTGACAGACTGCACACAATACTTATAAAGTGATGATATCAGTGACTAGTATATCGATGAAACTGCCTTTGTTCGATAGTATGAGCTCTCTTCCTGCCTTATCTCATCAGGCCAGGCGAATAGAGGTGTTGAGGTGAACAAGTTCAGATAAGTTGCTATTGAGTTGCTAGCACTTACCTCACCGGAACTGGCCCACCCAACTGAAAGGATCCGGCCGGACCTCGATCAAGAAACATCATGTGAAAACAAATTCTATTTTCCCCCCAATTTTGTCCATTGTCCACTGCCCGGGCCCTTTATAAACTAGATTCCGAGTTTATATTCTATACCGGTATCGTTGGCTTACTCGATAAGTAAACCCCACTCATATCACCAAGTACGCAATGCGGGCAATATCCAAAGCACGAGTAGCGAACATGCGTCGAACGCAGCTCGCAAGAGACGGTGAGTTTTCATCGTGTTCGGAGCTCGAACATGAGTGCTTGACTGTCCAACATGGGTGATCGGCAGCTTCTGATTGGCTGAACATCATGCTTGACGGCAATGTCCGAATAGCATGTTTTAAACGTCGAAGATGGCGAACAAATGCTGTCTCAAGCGACCAATGCTTTTCTCCATGTTCGCAGTATGTTGAGCGCCACCACTTTTTGACTTCCAAGCGTCTAAAATTTTTGAGGCAGAGCTTGTGTGACAGCCCTTTGCTAGTCGTTAGTTTTGATCTTGTGGTTTGAGGAGTGCAGGATGCTGATGACCATCTCATGCATGTTGCCAGTGATCTTTTCGCACGCCAGAAGCGTATCTCCTCACCTGAGTTCGGTCATGGTTGAAATGAAGAGTTTATACTCAAGCCGGCGCCACATACTAGTGTGACTGCGCAGTGACACAAGGAGAATTGATTGAATTCGGGACCTTTGGGCCTATTCGGATACCGTCTCATGAAGAGCTAAGGACAATACGCCACGCACATGGACGCCGCTTTCAGCGTTTGAACTTCGAAGTGAGGCTGTTCCTCGCTTACCCTATTGAATATGTAGTGGGCTGATACGTGCGGAAGACTGGACCACCTGTAGACAGATGCGGCGCCTAGATCTATCTTTGTGAGTGTACAGAAAGTAATTGATTTCCTCTGAGCATGTCAAATAAGGTTGCAGTGAGGTTGTGGCGCAACCTCAAAGATGGAGTAGTCTAGTTCTTGTTCTGGGTGCACCCAAGGACCCAACCATGTATATAAGGAATATCTCCAAGGAAATCTCCTTTGATCACGTTTCTGAGTGTGAATTCTGCAGTGTCCCAGGAATGCTGGCAGGCGACTGTTAAACAATCTCCTCACTATCCAACAACCTACGCCCTTCGTCTCAAGTGGTATCTTGCTGTTCTCTCGCACATCGCACTCGTTTGAAATTTCCAGGCTCGTACTGAGATATGGCGGGTGTGTTTAATGCTAAATCATTTACTCGATGGTGCGGAATTATGACACGGGACCATCAGCGTCCAACAGCTTTAGGGTCAACCCCTACGGATATGTGCCCACGGAATGGATTTGTGCCTTCTTTGTCGCCCTATTCTCTGTTTCCACGTGTATGTTCCCGGTCCAATTATCTGCAAGAAAATCTCATGACAAAACTTCCCATTAGTGATACATGCATTTCAAGTTGTTTATACTCGACTATGGTGGCTCTTCCCGATGGCATGTGTCGCAGGTATCCTCGAGATTATAGGCTGGAGTGGAAGGCTGTGGTCCAGCCAGAACCCTCTTGCCAAGGAACCGTACCTTATGCAGTCCGTAAAATTTCACCTCGGGGACACGTAAAACTGATCATGTTTTCTCCAGAATTGTCACAACAATCATTGCACCAACGCCCCTCATTGCGGCTAACTTCATCATCCTCGGAGAACTTATCCGTCACCTTGGCCACTGCTATAGTCGGCTCAGTGCAAAAGCGTGTACATATTGCGGCATATGGTCTTCGATGCATCATTAATTCTATCCATTTTAGACATGCTCGTGTTCGTTTCATGTGTAAGTGCATCTTTTATGCTCTACTTTTTGAATTGAGAAATTCAAACGTTTATGGATCCGGTGGACTTTATAGGATGGTATCGCCCTTGTCGTACAAGCAGTGGGTGGCGCCATCGCTTCGCTAGCCATCAATCAAGGCAAAAGCCCTGAGCCTGCAAGCGTTTATATTCTCAATAGTAGTGTTTCACTCATCATTTGTATCATGCAGGGTTCCCATGCCATGCTTGCTGGGATCGTTTTCCAGTTAGGTGCGCGCATCGATTCACAATCCACACTCACTTCTCACCGTTAACGTGTCTGCCCAGCTTCTATCACGATATACATAACACTTGAGATGGAGTTCATCCTTCGATTCCTTTACGACAGGCCTCTGCATATCGCTGACGAGCCTTCCAAGGCGTACAAGTTTGACAAGAATATGAAGCTCATGCTGTTTGGACTCGCACTGAGTAGCGTCTGTATCTACATCCGGTGCGCTTACTCTAACTATGGTCTCTATATTCTTCGACTCATTCATGGTTATCCCTCTAGGTCCGTGTACCGAACTATAGTCCGTATACCCTCATGATCTATATTGCCGATCAGATATTTACAACCATTCTTCTGCAGGAGCTGTCAGGGGGGTGGCAAGGCTACATAAATACTACTCAGCACTTTTTTGGTATGTTTTTATACTATGTATTGTACCTTCCTCTTGCTAATCCTCGTGCGCTTCATGAAAGACTGGCTAGACGGCGGGATGATCGTTCTCGCCATGTTCACCATAAACTTCTTCCACCTGGGCTTCCTCCTTGGCCACGCGAATGTATGGAATGCCACTCCCCCTGTCGAGCCGAAGCATGGTGACAGGTTTATTTAATAACGGGAACGGGAAATACATGGAAGACATACTGGTGTAAAACAAGTATGACCTGTCCCAACCTAATGGGACGTTTGCATTCTTTTACCTGGCCTTCCCTATGTTGCCATATGCTCTTACCGTGTTCGTAGCTATATGTTTCTTTTGGTTACGCATAGGACAGTCTGTATCATCTGAACACTTTGCGATGTGTGCATGTCTTTGTTTCTGTCTGCACGCTCGCTGTGCTGCTGAGGGACCACCGGAAACCAGACTCTGCAATACGAGCTGTACCCAGAGTTGGGGCAAGATTCCCAACTGTGCATGTCCGCGCATTTGCTTTTCGGGATGGTAAATCAAGTTCGGTGTGATAAAGTTCGATAGTCGGATAGAAGACCACAAATTGCGCAGCGCATGGCATGGGCCACACGACGTTGATGCTGTGTAAGGCCAGCCGGCTTTTACAAGCCGAGTAGAATAGCGGTGAGCCTCCCCACTCGTCTTCTGCTCTCTGCTGCATGGCATCTGTACCAGCGTCTCCCATACTTCCAGCCACCAGAGCCCTGCTTGTAACAGAGGCAGGAGGGGTGCTTGCGAAAGGAAATGGTGAGTGCACAGCCAAGACTATGTGGGCGACTATTGATTACTGAATGTTGAACGGCAGGAGGTGAGGCACAGTTTCCGTCCATACTCGCGGCAATGCACTGAAGGCTCTCCCTTCGGCGATCAATTGTGCTTCCAATTGAATTATGGTGGAAGGTGATTGATGTCATAGCCGACATCTTGTACAGAAGACATGGCGGGAAGCGGATGCGAGAGCTGGCGATGGTGAGTCAGGCGTCGGCTGCTACGCCATTCCGAGGAGGGTCGTCGATTTCGTCCGATCTGTCACCGAATCGGTCAGTTTTGGTCCCCAGCCCGAAGGACCAATTGCAAGACCGATTTTGCAGAGGGGGGCACGTGCCTGCCTCCCGCCGCCCGTGCTCAGCACTGAGTTCTTTCCGGTTCGGCGGTGGGGGGGGGGGGGGGGAAGCAGCGCCGTTCGAGTCAGTCCAGTTATAGAGGGAGCGTACGCAGGATGTATTATGTAGAGCTAACTAGGGTACATGGGTATCGTATGGGACAGCTACGGTGGACAAATCCCACTCAGTCAACTATGGCCTATCTTCCTGCTGAAATGCATACAGCCTCGCATGCCGTATCTCGCGGGCACGGAGAACGAAAGAAACAATATGATGAGTGATCACATACCTCTACGAAGCACGCACAGTGAGCCCCAGATGAGACGAGCCAGGAGTGAAGAGGCAAAGGGGCGACAAGCGACGGCGACGACTCATGGAGGGCCTGGTCGAACGAATTCCGCTCAGGACAAGACGGCGGCCACGCTGAGAGCCGCACCGCTTCCACTTGGGACGCTCGACAAGGATGGAGAGGCGGAGGAGGTGACAGCACTTGGGTGATGCTCGCGTTCGCGTTCGCGTTTTGCGTCCGAGTTGCCGGCACGAAGCTGGTTGATGCACAAGTATTTGACCCCGTTACAGTCCATGACATGTCAGAAATCCGTTTCGGGCACCTGAAACACACTGTAGAGCTCGAACAGGGGGCCGTCGTCTGCTGTGACTGTCAGCCTCTTTACGATCATGGATGCAAATGCTCCATACTCCGTTGAGCATTCGCCACCAGATTTCTCGCGCACGACGAGCTCGTCGTACATGGCCTCGAGAGTGACGAGGAACTGCTTGGGATGGAAGTGGGTGCCCCGTGTGAAGATCCCCTCCGGTTGCGGGAATGGTGGCAGCTCCTCCACGACGTCAACAGTGCCGCCGCCTGCACTGCCGATATCTTTCTCGACCCTCTTCGGCTTCTGTAGGACTCCATCAGAGCAATATCCCTTCTTGTGGTTGATTTTCGTGCACCGTGTGCATGCGCTGACCTTCCGCTGGTCGCCATGAGCATGAGCGGCTTGGGTAAGTTTGAGCTCGAGAGTGTTACAGCTTCATGAGGGGGGTTCTTTTTCTTTGCCTAACTATTCATCGTTGACCCTGTACTG